TTATTAAAACTGTAATAAAAACATGTTATGGGGTTTATTATAATGAAACATTACAGTTTTCTTCCCAGCTGACCTAAGTTGACCCGTGACCTCTGACCTCTGCTGTTGCAGCTTCGGCCTACAGTGAGCGGCTGCTGCCTCAGTGGCTGACAGGAATCATCGCCGTCAGCAGCTTCCTCATCCTCACCTTCATCGGCTTCATGGTGAAGAAAATGTGGTGCGAGAAGTCCAGCGGGTCAGAACCTCCTCTTCATCACCTAAAGAGTTCGAAAGAATCAGTTCTTTCATCTGATTTACTAATCGATGAGTTCTTAGCGTCAGTTGGGTCAAACCAATGAAGCACAACACTTCACTTCTGTCAGCTCCGTCAGAACCTCCTCACACTGAAGAACCTTCAAAAATCTTTTCTGATGATCTGTTGTGTTCAGGACGGACCCCAGCGTGGAGTCGGTGAGACCAAACAAAAACGTGGAAAGTAACTTGTACGAGACCAAGCTGGAAGTCCTTGGGTAAAAACAAGAAGCAGATTTTTTTCTTTACACAGAAAATTATCTTTAAAATATCAGTTTGACAAATCTGAAACACCAGAACCTGCGAGAACGACGTAAAAAATATAGTTTGAACCAAAAATCATTTGTTTTACTTGTTTTCAGGTCGAACAGCGTGCAGTCGAACAACGAAAACCACTACGAACCCTGTGACGAGTACGAGACGAGCCTGAACGTCCTCAGGTAGAAACAGGAAGTCAAACGTTTGAACCTGGACGTCCTCAGGTAGAAACAGGAAGTCAACCGTTTCAGAGTCTGGACGTCCTCAGGTAGAAACAGGAAGTCAAATGTTTCAGAGTCTAGACGTCCTCAGGTAGAAAAAGGAAGTCAAACGTTTGAACCTGGACGTCCTCAGGTAGAAACAGGAAGTCAACCGTTTCAGAGTCTGGACGTCCTCAGGTAGAAACAGGAAGTCAAACGTTTGAACCTGGACGTTCTCAGGTAGAAACAGGAAGTCAAACGTTTGAACCTGGACGTCCTCAGGTAGAAACAGGAAGTCAAATGTTTGAACCTGGACGTCCTCAGGTAGAAACAGGAAGTCAAATGTTTCAGAGTCTAGACGTCCTCAGGTAGAAACAGGAAGTCAAATGTTTCAGAGTCTAGACGTCCTCAGGTAGAAACAGGAAGTCAAAAGTTTGAACCTGGACGTCCTCAGGTAGAAACAGGAAGTCAAACGTTTCAGAGTCTGGACGTCCTCAGGTAGAAACAGGAAGTCAAACGTTTGAACCTGAACGTCCTCAGGTAGAAACAGGAAGTCAAATGTTTC